GGCTCCGCACTGCCCCGGAGCAGAGGGTGGGGGGAGATCCTGTCTGCTTTTTATTTTATTTTGGTTTTGCACCATAAAAAGATAAACAAAAGAAATAGCTTTTTCAAGTCACCTCATACAAATAGTATAGTGCCATCTCTTTATCGTGAAAATGTAACTTACAAATGTAGATTTTTTTGTTTCATAACTGCACTCAAAAAGAAAACAAAGTCCCCCCAGTCCTACTTCTTGGTCATCCAATTTCTAAGAGAAACAAGTTTGTTTACATTTATGAGAGATAATGCTGCGTGCTTCTTATTTACAATGTCACCTGCAAGTGAGACCAATCATTCACATGGCTCTGTTGTAGCCAGTGTTGCAAGGTATTTACGTGCCAGATATGCTAAACATTTGTACACCACTTCATGCTTCCACTTGTACATTGCATATTTTTAAATCTTCTTTCCATGTTAATATTTGTAATAAAAATAATAATATAAAGTGAGCATCATACACTTTGAACTCTGTGTTGTAATTGAAATCAATATATATTTGAAAATGTAGAAAAACATCCACAATATTTATAAAATAATTAAATTGACATTCTAATATTATTTAAGTGTGATTAAAACTGTGATTAATTACGATTATTTTTTTTAGTTGTTTGACAGCCCTACTTAGCCAGTTTTTAATCTATTACATGTGTGCCATATTAATTTCATACCATTCTAAAATGTCATGCGGTACCAACTCAAATGCCTTATAGAAGTCTAAGTATATCATGTCAACACTATTACCATTATCAACCAAATTTATGATCTCATTAAAAAAAAAAGATATCAACTTAGTTTGGCAGGATTTATTTTCCACAAACCCATGGGCTCCTTCATCAGACTACATCCCCCTGATACACCATGGACTTCCATTTTGGTGAAGGGAGGCAGTGTGTGATGGGAGTCCCATGGGCACGGTGAATTACAGGAGATGATATGGCTTGGGAGCCTGGTCCATAGAGGAAAATGCAAACATAAAGCAACCGAACTACAATTCCCATGCACTATGCCAGTATATCTAAATGGAAATATTTTGTTTTTTGTCCCTAAAACTGAAAACTTCTGTTTTCAGGCATTTGTTGTTGTTGTTTTCTAAAAAACTCCACAACCAGCCAACCAACCAATCAATCAACCAACAATTACAACAACATTTTCCATAGAAAGCAGATTTTCAAGAACAATTTAATTTAACTGAAAACTCAATTTCCCATCAAAAACAGTTGAGATGGAAAATTTTTGATCAGCCCAAGTAATTCACGGTGTGAAAGATGTGGTGAGATGGTGAATTTAGCGCTAACAAAAAGTATCCCATAACAATAAATAGAAACAGACATATCAGTCCAATATCCACATGAATGTCCTAGATTTCCTTGCTTTATTGTGTTCTTTCCCAGCTCTCAGAGCTTTGTGTCCCACTCTTTTGCAGAAGTAAAGCCCAGTTTGTCTTCTAATCAAATGAAAACTGTTGGTGGCAGTAATTAAATCCCACCTTCCTTTCCTAAAGTGAAGATTTAAAATGCTTCTAGTTTACAATACAGCTTGTTGTCTTAAATCATCCCATAAAATAGATTAGAGAAATTGTATAATGTCCTGCCATCTTCAAGAGATTCAGTGATGCAAGACAAATGTTCAGGACAAAAAGAGACAATTTACCATATTCATGTGCTCTGTTTTGCTACTTTTGCCTTGATTTGCATGTAAACTACTTGGCTAAACAATGGGATAACAAGGACGCGAACTACTGTCCCCTTGTTCTGTTGATGGAAGTATTATTTCTTCATTTTCAAAGTCCTAAGTGGATAATTATTGTCCAATTAGACTTGCTATTAACCTCACAAGGACCATAAAATGGGAATAATAAAATTTACCTTGCACAGAGTTATTGTGCAGATTAATTCACAATTAATATTTGCACAGCACTGTGAAAATTAAAAGAATTGCATAGCAGCTAAGTATAATCATTAATAATTAATAATTGTTAACACTGTTTTTATATTTATGACCTTAGAAACCCAGTGACTGGTTTGCATATCTGCTGCTTAGGCAATATCAGAGCGCACCTCTAAGTGTTTATTTCATATAAGCACCCAAACCCTGGATTCTTAGCCATACAGTTTGAATCCTGATTTGACAACACTCGAGCTAGAAATCAGGCATGAACAGTCTTGTGGCAATAGTCACACATCTGCTCCTGCTCTTGGTCGAAACCTGGAAGTAAAGAAACATGCAAAATCAAATAGAATAGTTAATCCTACTTTTTCTAACTTCTAATGCGATTCAGTTCAGGTTTTATTCCAGTTTCACTAACTTTATATATTATCTGAACTGCTTCGCCCGTCTCTAATTCTTTGTAGTACAAGAGTAAAAAAGGTAATAGCTTTTCACCACCAGAGGCTGAGCTTGGTGAGTCTCTATCTCGTCCCCATTTGTCTGAATGACAAAATCACTGCATAATTTGGCAACAATTCAACACTGGTATCATTCTGTGCACTAAAGAGCCCCCAAACTGGAATACAACTGAGGTTTACCCACAACCTGTGAGATGGTAGAAGGGAGACGTTTGCACAGAAAGTGACTCTATTATTTCAGGGGTTAGTCATCCCCTAGTTTAACTCAACAAACCTGCGAAGGAGAAATTAATTAAGATGAAATTCTCCCTTATTCTCTTCCTTCCTAATTTATCCTCTCCAAACAATAATATCTAAGGCAACATCAGATGCATGGCCATGCTGTTTTCTTAAGGGACGATCTCATTTCTTCAAAGTGAAGCTTTGAGTGGCAATTTGAAGGTCTCACCTGCACGGAGTACAGTGGCTGAGTTGCTGAGACTCATGCAGCTGGAGTCCAGCAGTCACGTGAAATTTCTGCAGAAGTTTGTGAAAGTCTGAACCTGAACAAAATTGGAAATGGAGGGAAGAGTCCTTCAGCCAATGATGAGAGATGAACTCCACTGAAGGTGAACACGTCACTCCAGATTTACACTACAGTAACAGAGATAAGAATCTGGCCCAGTAATTTTACATGTAAAATATGGCTCCTAACTCCCAACCTTCCTTATTTTTTGCAGTGTGTTTTCTTTACATTCTACCTTCCACTTGTATACAAGTGAGCTGAAACCTAGAAGTTTTTTGCTCTGGTATTCTGAGACTATAATAAGGGTTTCAGCAAATAACAGAGAGAAACTCATAACACATCTGAATGGTTTATGTCAAGAATCCTCTCTGAACTGAGTAGTGTATATGATTTCACTCAGTCTATGGGCAACAACATTGACAGTTACTCGCTCATTATAGCTGAGGGTCCACTACACCCTCAAACACAAGGATTTCCTTGTCAATATGGTAATAAAATAGAACATAATTTGGATTCACTATAACGTAGCACCTTTTATATTCAAAGTGGTTTGCTAAGATTAGACACAGTAGTGGTAGTGCAGTGACTGTGTATGCAAATGCCATAACCATCATGCATTCTGTATCAGCTCGCCACATTCTTCAACATTAGAGAAAAAGAAAAGAGAATAAAAATTAATATTGTTCAAGACAATCACTGCTCTTTTCAGAATTATTCAGGTATGCTTAACTTTCCTTTGGGCAGCCACCAGAGAGAGGCCGAAGGGAGTATGGTTTCCTGTGAAAGATGAATTGCAGTGTCAGCACCATTGGCTCTGAACCCCAGCCCTACTGCAGCACTTGAAACCACCAGGGTCTGATCCAGGGAGAAGAACTTGATGATATCTCTTCAGTGTTTAACCCCAGAGGTGCGAGAGAGAATCTGAGTACAGCATCAACTGCTTGTGTGTTTGATGCACATTTATATAATCATGAACGGATAACTGATAATGGCTGATTCGATGAGCACGTATAAAAAGGAGGCATGTGGTCCTCAGTTCAAGTAACCGTTTTGTTTCTTCTAATTCTGTATCATTGTTTAAAGGTTTTCGCTGTGAAGCTTTGTTCCTATCTGCCTTGTATTTAGTATGCCATTGAAGGTTTCTCACTGAGCAATTAGCAGCTGTAATCCAGACTAGTTTCCAGTATCCAAGAAGAATGTTTAATTGACTCGCATCACAGGGTCAGACACACACACACCGCTGCAAAAAGGTTCAGCTGACGCACCCGTAGTGGATATAGACAGCAGTCTGCTCTGGAACATTTTATGGTAATTGTGCAGAGCAGATGCTGTATAGAAAAAATTGCATTAGGAGAAGCTGGAATTATGCACTAAAAAATACTTCCAAGAAGTGGGATTTGGGAATAAAGGACTAAAAAAATATTTTGGTTTTCAATTCAAAATATTTCTTCTAATTGCTATCTATGATAATGACCCAATGGAAGCTACTAAGCTTCTACAGCATGCCACCAGTGATGAATTTATACTTTCTGTTGCCCTGGGCTGAAACTAATAATGTTGCCGTCCACACACCCCATCTACCTAAAGACAGGAATTTAAAAACATTCCCCCACACCTTGTATCTTAAACTAAGACATTAGAGCACCACCCAGTGGGTCATAACAAGGCTATGTTTATGTCACGGAGGTCACAGAATCTGTAACTTCCAGAGACCTCTGACATTTTCTGCTTCAGCCCCTGGTGTACGGGGAGATTCCAGCAAACCAGTAAAGTGCCTGAAACCACTATTGCTTATTGCTAAAAGCAGCCAAGTCAGCAGGCCGTAAATTGGCCATGCAGCAGTCTCAGCTTAACAAGGTAGGAGGGGAGGGGGTTTTGGGTGCCACAGAAAGGGCAGCTTGACCCCACGTCCTTCCTGATAAGAATTGTGTTGAAGTTGCTGATACATGCATTTTAGAAGAGTGGGTTGTGCCCTCAGGAATGTCTGTTAGGGCCTCAAAGCTGCAAACTCTGGGGGAAAAACCACACCTGGTTAATCAATAATCAGAAGGAAACCTCTTGCTTGACCATTGAAAATGCTTGCTTAACAAGTTTTCTTTAAGGGACATGTCATTGTATTACGAATATATAAATAAGGGGAAAAAGTTTGAGGTAGTTGGACTGGACTCTCCCTCTGGATACATCTTATGGTCCCCACTGGCAGACTGAAGTTTGGCCAATGGAAGCCTCTCGCTGTGCCACTGGAGAGCCACACTCAGCTTCGGTAATTATCGAGGGTTGGGGGTGTTTTACTAACCTGTTGGGGATGTGTGTAAGTGCTTGAGACTAAGTAAAGTTTAGCTTTAAGTGAAAGCATTCTTGTGTTGTCCTGTTTGTGCCAGCCATCTATCAGTCGGACAGCCGCGTCTCCCCTGATTTATTTCCTGACACCCCCTTTCTCAGAGTAAAAGTTACCAAGAGCTTTGGGTTGAAAGAACCCCGGGTAACACTGGAGCCTGGAACTGGAGCTGGCAGCAAGCGGGGCCCCGGTAGGGTTCCAGGAATGGGCAACAGCCTCCTCAGGGTCCCCCTGCAGGGTTCCAGCAACAGGGGACAGCCTTGTGGGGGGTGTGGCGTGGAACCCCACAGCTCTCAGCCACCATTCTGGCAGGAGAAACCATGGAGCTGCAGCAGCAAAAGTCACAGACAGGTCACGGCTTCCATGAATTTTTGTTTATTGCCCGTGACCTGTCTGTGACTTTTACTAAAAATAACCATGACAAAATCTTAGCCTTAGTCATAACAAAACACAACTGAGTACATTAAGATGGTGGGTTTGACCTATATGGTTCAAAGTGACTGGGACCAAATTCTAGGTCTTCACTACAAAATAGATATGTTTTTCCATTGAGTTAACTTGACTGAGCTATTGCAATATAAAATACTAGTGGAGACAAGGCACAGATAGTTTTCACCTCAGTGTACCTCAAGATAAACTCTAGCTAGAGGTTCTAGGTTAACCTCATGTAGCTACATCTAGATAAAAACTTACCTGTGGCTTGTTTCCACTAGGATTTCACCATCTCGTTTTTACCGATTTGAGCACTCTTGATAGAAAACCCACCTTTTTTGCAATGAAGACGCAGCCTATGATACTGCCTCTCATCTCCTGACATACTATCACAGTGGCAGTCAGAGGAAGTCTCTGATGAGCTTACATCCATTTCAGTAAAAGAGAGGGGATGGTTGGCCAGGTCTTCTCCATATGGTCTGTGATGCAGCTGCTTGAAACACAGAATTTCCATTTTGTGGGGGGAAATGTGCCATTTAAAAAAAACCTGACATTTCATTTCAAAACAGATTTTTCATTTTGAAATGTATTTATTTTAATATTACTTTTATTTCATGACATATCAGTAGTAGTTCAGAATAGAACACATCACATTATGACATGTCATATAATCGTCAAAATATCCTGACCTATCCTATTATTTTATTTCTAAAATCATTAAGGGCAACGGCTACATAGTACTGATTCTGACCGTATTTTCTAAAATGTCTCCTGTCTGTGTTGTAAAGAAACAATTTGACACTTTAATCTAGAAAATAAGAGAGGCACTCAGTGGAGTAGCTGTTTTCAATATCCTAGAAAAATGATTTCAGGATAGCACAATGATTAAGAGGTATGGGCTTTGCAATCTGATGTACTGCTGGTTGATCATAGATTGAGTTGGTTGGACATACTACACCGTTTATATGTTTACATAGGCTTTTTTTGTTGCCTGGGGAATTTTAGTTGAGTCCTTTTGCAGGCCAACATTCGGGCGCCCTGTCAGCCATTTACGTTTTAAATTAAAGAAAATAATCTCTGCTACTAACAGTGGTAATAAGTGTTTTTATTTATTCCTTAATGTATAAAATACATTTTTAGAAAAGTTCTTTTAATCTCTTTTATCTTATTTAAACAGTGGATTGTTTCCCTTGGCTTACTGTGGCCCAATCCTTGTTCCATGTGGCCCAGAGGTAAATACATCAGTATCTTTCAGTGTTACAAATGGAAATAAAACCAAACACATTTTAGTTATTTCTGCTGCAATATACTATTTTCATGGCATCTGAAAGCAGCTGCCTGCTCTTTAAGCCCAAAGGTGATATCCTCAGCTGGTATAACTCAGCAAGAGTCCCATTGAAGTCAATAATCGATGCCAATTTACAGCAGCTGAGGATCTGGTTCCAACTCTATATTACAGCTGTATGATGCCTTTTTGATAAAACACCTGGACTAGTGCCCAATACTCTGATTGTTAATTAGTAGGTCAGTACCTTTTCCCTTGCTATGGACTTAGCAGATTTCAACTAGCCAGACAAATGTTGATGTGGTAAATTAATTTTAATATTTTCATACAAAGAAACACTAAATTGTCTAGAGTATGCTACATTCCTGCCTGGACTGTAGCAAAGTGATCTGACTACTGGCCAATAGTTTGTATACTGAAGAAAGAAGGCAGTGATTAAGTAATTCTCCATCCCTGGAATGTCCTACCAACAATCACTTGAAATGAAAAGATCTATAGACAGAAATATTTGCATTGGTATCTGTAGTGCTGCCTATCCAACAAGAAGAGATTACTCTGGTGACTCATATAGGTACAGCAATTACATGTTAACAATTTATTAATTAAACCTTATTGGTATCATATTCCCAGTCTAAAAGAATACATCATTAAAATAATTAATAGCACAACTACAGCGGCTTGAATTTGCAATTATTCTTTGGCTCATAGTCCCCTCCTCTAACAATCTATAGATGCAATGTTAGGTGTGTGTAGTTTGAATGCTGCAGCTGTGTTTGGAATTTGGGGTCGGGGTAACCGTGTACGTTAAAGCTGAATGGTAATGGGAGTCCCACTGTGGAGTGGATGACATTAGTATGAACAGCAGGCACTTGTTCATTAGGCTTCAGCCTACCATTGCTATGAGTATCACATGAATTAATACACTGTCATTTAAGAGTATTTGCCAAACATTTTATCTGAATATCATGCTGGCTCTTCTGTGGAGATGAAAGAGCTTGGGAAAGGGAATCTCTGTTTAACAGAAAACACAGCAGGTGTATTAGCTTCTGTCAAGGTTCCTCCCCCACTCTGAACTCTAGGGTACAGATGTGGGGACCTGCATGAAAACCTCCTAAGCTTACTTTCACCAGCTTAGGTTAAAACTTCCCCAAGGTACAAATTAATTTTATCCTTTGTCCTTGGAATATCCACTGCCACCACCAAACTCTAACTGGGTTTACTGGGAAACGTAGTTTGGACACGTCTTTCCCCCCAAAATCCTCCCAACCCTTGCACCCCACTTCCTGGGAAAGGTTTGGTAAAAATCCTCACCAATTTGCGTAGGTGACCACAGACCCAAACCCTTGGATCTGAGAACAATGAAAAAGCATTCCGTTTTCTTACAAGAAGACTTTTATAGAAATAGAAGTAAATAGAAGTAAAGAAATCACCTCTGTAAAATCAGGATGGTAGATACCTTACAGGGTAATTAGATTCAAAACATAGAGAATCCCTCTAGGCAAAACCTTAAGTTACGAAAAAGACACACAGACAGAAATAGTCATTCTATTCAGCACAATTCTTTTCTCAGCCATTTAAAGAAATCATAATCTAACATATACCTAGCTAGATTACTTACTAAAGTTCTAAGACTCCATTCCTGGTCTATCCCCGGCAGAAACCAGCATACAGACAGACACACAGACCCTTTGTTTCTCTCCCTCCTCCCAGCTTTTGAAAGTATCTTGTCTCCTCATTGGTCATTTTGGTCAGGTGCCAGCGAGGTTAGCTTTAGCTTCTTAACCCTTTACAGGTGAGAGGATTTTTCCTCTAGCCAGGAGGGATTTTAAAGGGGTTTACCCTTCCCTTTATATTTATGACAGCTTCAAAAACCTTATTGGCCATGGTTGTATAAAGCAACTCAAAGACATGGGATTCCCCGAACTTCACAAACTGTCAGTGGCTGCATGTTATCACAGCCTGTTGACTAGAAGAACATATTCCCCCCTCTTCTCCGCCTCCCCCCGCACAGCTAATTCCATTTTGCTAATGGGCTCATTGCATTTTTAAACATGGCCATGTTTCAGAGCACACAGACAGGTATTCATCCACTCTGAGCAGGGATCAGAAAGGAGCAATAGAGACTAATTGGGGCTGCTTACATGGGCAGGAGAAAGCGACAACTGCTAAGGGCTATGATAAGGGAGACTCTAATGAAAAGTGATCAACCAATACAGACTGCTTTTAAAAATGCAGATGAGTGAATGTAAAGAAAGACACTTGCAACCTGAGCATCGCAATTACAATGGAACAAATTCATATTCCAGTGCTCAGCTTCAGGAGCTGGTCACTAGATCCTCCACTAGATCCACTGGATCCTCCCCAGTAGGCTGTGCAGTCTTGTCTCTGAGACTGCTTCAGCCTATTCTCTTCTGTTCAGGCTTTCACACCATACTCATCCCTGCAGAAGGCACTTCTAATATCATGGTGAGGGGCTATACCTGAAGAGCCTTACTAGATTAGGAGGACACACAGTGATGTAGCTCCCCTACCTCAGCTGTCATGTATCTGCTTGGGAACAAGCTCAGCAACTGCAGCTGAGCACTGAAATGAGGTGTGACTGGACCCATACAGCTCGGGGCCCAAGCATCTTTATATTCAGAATCAACATGTTTTTAAAAGAAATGTTGACTGGATGATCACTTACCATTAAGATCTCCTTTATGTTAACTCTTTCCATTATGACGAAAGGATAAAATACAATGGACATGTTTTGCCTAGAGAAAAGAAGACGGAGGTGGTGGTGGGGAAACCTGTTAACAGTCTTCCAATATGTTTAAGGGCTGTTATGAAGAGGACGGTGATCAATGGTTTCCCATGTCCAGGACAATAAGTGATGGGCTTAATCTGCAGCAAAGGAGATTTAGGTTAGATATTAGGAAAAACGTTCTAACTATAAGAGTAGTTAAATTCTGGAACAGACTTCCAAAAGAGGTTGTGGAATCCCCATCATTGGAAGTTTTAAAGAACAGGCTGGACAAACTCTTGTCAGCGATGGCCTTGGGTTACTTAGTCCTGCCTCAGCACAGGGGGTTGGACTTGATGACCTCTCAACGTCTCTTCCAGCCCCACATTTCTATGATTCTAGGATTATCTATTGGTTACATTCCCATTTGTGTGAATTGCAGGTTTTCCTTCATGTGGATCAGACAAAGTCACCACTGAATAG